GGAAACGACGACGACATAAAGAGAGCGGAGAGCAAGAAGGAAGACGCATCATGATTGCTGATCTTCAATGAAAAAGGAACGTGAAAAGACTTTTTGTCCATATAGAATGGTCTATAATGTCTGTAAGGGTAGACATTTCAAGTACAATCGATCTTATTCGTGTAATCGCATAATAAACGCCTCGAGCAGTTTCTCTCTTGTTGCACGTACTGTTCGTATGGAACATGAAGTAATCGATGATGAAAGGGGATTTGAATGGCAACAGAAAGGATGTTTTACAAGAAAACCTGCATTTGATTTGAAAATTGAAAGAAAATAATTAAAAATTTCTTTTGCTAATCCACTCGCGTTGGTGGCGAAGAGGAAAAATAAAAAAAATTTAAAGAAATGCGAGAGAAATTCTTAAAACGGAACGATTTGGATATGAGGAAGGAAGAAGAATTCCGTATAATATGAAAGATGGAATCATAGTATTCAAATCAAAGAGAAAGAGCAAAAGAGCAAGAGAGCAAGATAGAGAGGGAAACAGAGAGAGAGAGTCAATCACTGAGAGAGAAAACAAAGGAAGCAAAAGAAGTTTTTTATTGTTTTTTCAAACTCCGTAAGTACTTATTCAGATGCTTCGGGGAGGTTGATAAATAAATAATCATAGAACATTACATTTTAACTATATGTTATAGATGATTGAATATGTAAATTTTCAATTTGAAAACCTCGAATTTCATTGAAAGGGATACTCCCTTTGTAGATATTCTTATCTTGAATGTGTTAAAGTGTGATGAAAGTTTGTAAAAGACATCTGCTTCATACGAAACAACTTCCTCCGAATATTTTCATTCAAAATCAGAAAAGGAAGAGAGAGGAAAAAAAAAGTTTTTTTTGACTGAATTGAATACTAATTCAAACGAATTATAATGTTCATACAAAGAATTCTTACTTTCATTTTCGCGTAAAATACAAAATAAAGAAAAAGAAGAAGAAGAAGCATGAACAGAGAGTGGGACAGAGGTGGTAAGAGCATGAGAGGATTGATGCAGGAGAGATTGAATGAGATGTATGTGTATCTGAACAAGTATCGATGAAATCTCACAAATACATTGATATCTAACAATTATTTAAGTTGTTGATAAGATAAATAGTTTTTCGTAAGATTTTAACACAAAAGTTGAAGAAGAAGAAATATGTAGAAGAGAGAAAAGCTGAGATGAGCTTATATGGCAGGACAACTTATATTAAATCAAAACGTTTGTGTTGGAAGCCAAAAAAAATAGTTTTAGAAAGTTTTGAGGTTGTAAATAAGAAGAAAGAGAGAGAGAGGGAGTGAGGTAGGGAGAGACTGGGGGTGATAGAAGAGTGAGGGAAATGGTTTTAAGGCAAAGACTAGTTGAGACAATATAATCAAATTCCTATTGATTGTGCTCGCGTTTTGAGACAAAAAAATATCTGGAAGAACTTGAGATTGATAAGATGGTATTCCTTTCCTTTCTCTCTCTCTCTCTCTCTCTCTCTCTTTCTCTCTCTTCCTAGATATATATTTCTCTCTATGATCCTCTCTCTATCTTCGTATCTCCAGGCTTCTTAACATAAATGAAAGATTAATAGACGATAGATGGCTTAGTAGTTTTTTCTTGTTTCTTTTGGCTTTTTAGAGTAGTTTTGAGGGAATCGGATGATTGCGCTTGAATAAAGATGTAAAGAGGAATGATTGAAAAGACAAAAGTCTAGATGTTGACAAAAAACACAGAAAAAAAAATCTTTTTTTGGCAGAAAAATCAGCGAAAACTCAAACAACGAGGCAACGGAAGGGCAAGGTGGAAGAGTTAGAGAGAGAGGAGAGAGGAAGGAGGGAAAGGCCAAAATTTTTGTTGATAGATGAGACGAATGAAGTCCGGAAATCAAAAGAGAGTGTTCTTCAATTTCGGCAAAGAAAATTGAAAGTTTTAATTCAATGAAAGCAGAAGAAGTGAAAGAGTAAAGAGAATTAGAAAAAGAGAAGGAGGGACTTAGAAGGGAGAAGATGAAGAGAGAGAGAGAATGAGAAATAAAGACAAAAAGGTTTAATGTTAGGTGTGATGCAACTGAAACATGTAAAAGAAACTAAAATTAAATAAAAGGATGAAGAAGAAGCGAAAGGCAAGTACAATAAAGGCTGAAGCAATACCCCCATGCCTTTGCCTTTCCCTCTCTCTTTCTCTCTCTCTTCCTCTTTTCCCCTCTCTTTATGGAAGATTGGCACTATCAAATTACATTTATAAGAGAGAGAGAAATGAAGAGAGAGAAGGAAATAAGAGAGATTGATGACAAGACATTCAGAAAATACCACAAAAATTAAAGAGAAAAAGAAAAAAAAGTAAATTTCGAGAAGAATCATTGCCTATGAAAGCTAACATGTTAATCATTCCTGTCTGAACACGTATGAATATTTATATTTTCTGCGAATAATATATAGTTAAAGGTTGGTAACGCCAAAATGGCTTTGTCTCTGCAAACACAATTCTCAGGTAAAGGTTTGTGAAGAAGGAGAAGCTATGAAAGAGCTTGATTCTCGTTTACCTCATTCAAGCAACCTTCCAATGATCATTATTCTCTCGCTTTAACATACTTTTTTTTTTCCTTTTTTTTTCATTTTCTGATGGTTGATGATCGAAAATATTTATTTCAAAATTATTTTTATAAAAAGTGATTGTAATTCTTTTTATTTATTTTAATTATTTATAAATTCTCTCACGTTATGCTCACTTATATTTCCTGTTACGTCATGCGTCCTCCCGTTACCACCCCCCCCCCACCTCCCTCTCTCCATCATTGTCTTTTCTCGTATTCTCTCTCTGATTCTCTCTGTCTTTTAACTATCATCCTGTCAATCAGTTGAAGCTTAGAAGTATTGAAAACAATTCCATTTTGCCTTGAAACTTTTTTATTTTATTTTTCATACATAATCTCATGCAAAGAAGTTTATTTTTGATTTTTACTTTTTATGAAGAGAATTCATAATTCTCATAATGCAATGAAGAATGAGTGGGTTGAACAAGGAAAAGCACACGAAATAAATCTTTGATAGAAGAGTTATGAAAATTAAATATGTAAAGTGAGAAAAAGGACAAACGATGACGATATGGAGTCCAGACGCCACAACCACATGAGGATTAAGAGATCAACTAGAGAACGAACAATGCATATGTGATATGGAAAGGTGACTGACGTGAAAGATTTTACGTGAAAACCCAACAACATTTTGATGAAGCTGAGAGTGAGAGAGACATAGAATGGGTTGCACATTCAAATTTCATTGCAAACGATTTGTTCGTGTAGTTTGATGAATTTTTTGACAAGTTAACTATCCGTATAATTAGGTTTTAAAAAGAAAATAAGATATGAAATGTAGTGATTGAAGTAAAAAATGTTTTGTTTTTCAACAAATTGCCTCAGAGTAATTGAATAAAAAACAAAAAAAAATAGAGAGAAGAAGGAAAATGGTCGTTTTCGTGAATATTCACTGAGCATTTACATGCTGTCTAGAGAAGAGAGACGGAAAAAAAGTCATTCAGAAAGCTTAGATTGTTGAGCTTAAGCTTACTAGAGAAGCTTTCCTCTTTTCCTTCGCTTTTTTAATGATTCAAATGAATGAAAAAGTCAGTAAAAGCTAATTATCTATTGACAACAGTAGGTTCAGGAAGAAGAACTAGAAGAGGTTCAAATTTCAAAGTTCAAACAAGGAAATCTGTTTGTTGTTGCCATGTTGTTTATGAAACTTAGAAGTTGCACTAATGAAGAGAGAAGGAACTAAAAAGAGAGAGAGAGAGAGAAGGAAGGTAAAGAGGAAAAGAGAAGGAGATAGGAAGAGGAAGAAAAAAAATAGGGTAAGAGAGAAGACGAAAAAAGAAAAATAATGATGAATCTCAAAAAGATTTTGAACAAGCAATTGGCCGTGAAATGGGAAATGGTTGTTTCAAAGCCCATATATCGTCCATAATTTGCTTGCTGAAGCAGAGCAAAAAACTCAAATTATTCGAAACATTGCATTTCATTTAAAGCTTATATCTTATAAAACTTTATTAACTATATATGGTAAGTGCTTTAGGAGAGTAAAGATGTTCAATTGACCAATGATTAGGCAATGGTCGAGTGTGACGACAGACGAGAAATAGATTAGAAGAGAATTACATTTCCACACAAAGAGTGTGAGATGAAAAGAGAATAGGAAACGAAGACGAAAAGAGACGAACTTTTCAACAACTGAAATTTTAGTTTTTAAAAGGTAAAACAGCTCCTGTGGCTGAGTTTGATCTCAAATTTCAAAACCAAAACGATATTTAAGACTAAAGAATGGCCAGAGCTACGGAATACTGAAAAAACTGCATAAGATAGATAAAAATTGAGAGAGATTGAGAGAAATAGAGAAAGAGGTAAAGAGTGAGAGAGTAAGGGGGTTGGATGAAAAGGAAGGAATGAAGAAAAGGAAGGGAAGAGGCTTATGGAGAAAAAGCTAAAGGACATATGCCCCCAATGGTTTCAAGTGGCTTTTCTGAGGCATATCCCTCTCACTACCTTCTTCCCTCTGTTTTACTTTTAGCAGTTAAGCCATTTGAGAGTTTCTTTCAACCAAAAAAGGATCAGTTGAATAGCAAAAAAGGAAATATGATAGTCAGTTTTCAATTGTTTCAAATTGAGCTTTTTAAGATTAAACGTGACATCATTCAAATAGAGCTCAACAAGAGAAAATCAAATAAAAAACTAACAAAAACAAACTTTTTTTTTCCTTTTTTGGTTTTAAATACAAAGTGATCAAAGAAAATATTGATTGCTTTTTGTACAAATCATCTGCTCTGATGACTGGATGAAAACAAAGAGGAACATTCTCATACAAACTCCACGTTCAACCTGTCCCTCCCCTTTCTCTTCTCTCTCCTCTATCTCACATTTACCTACTAATTTTGGCACAATATCAATCTGTTTATGAAAAACATTTATTTTGTTATTTCTTCGACAAATAGAGATAATCACAGTTTGCTCAGAAGCTTCGCTTTTTCCATTATTGGCTTCAAATATTTCGTGACAACTGGCAAAACCTGAAGGAGAGAAAATATTTTTTTTTATAATTTTGTCTGATTGTATAAGATTGTAATGAACAACCAATACCTCCGTCTTATTCAAATCACTTTGTTGAGCCCATTTAAGTAAGTTCTCATATACATGCCCGTCTTGTCTACCGAGGACCTAGGAATTAAAAAATAAATTTATGTCCATTTTTAAGCAAGATATATGCAAATGATAGACTTACGGATCGGAGCTCGCGATCTGTGAAGTCCCAAGAATCCATTATAGACACAGCATTAGGACGAATAGCTGCCAAAAGCTTATATAAATTCTCTTTCATATGATCTAATTGTCCACTATTCATGTAGCCATCCTGTTAGAGAAGAACATTCAATTTCCACCCCCAAGGTGTCACCAACCTCAACTAGGTATGACCCCATATCAATCAATTCATAATTCAAATGAAGTTGGAACAGTTGCTCTAATACTTTGCGAACTTCCTGAAAGAACTCCTTCTGTGTAATTGTGGTTTATGTTCAAAATACTCACAAAGTTTGTTACATTCTCAATGGAATTATGGAAAGCATGAGCCATGAAAGCTCTAGTGTGCGATCTGGCTGCCTTTAAAAAAGCTTTGTAACCTTTAAACAAGGAACGAAAAAACCCGTTGAAGTTCCACAGAGTTTTCGTTCCATGCCACTTCTCTTGAAACTCCTGTGGCAATAATTTTCTGAAGACGATCGTATGATTTGAAAATTTGTCTGCGAGCCACGTGATCAAATGCATTCAAGTACTCCTTGTAATCTTGAATATAATTATTGAAATATTAGACTTTAACACGAAATGCTCACCGTTAGAAGCTTTTCTGTCAATCAATGAGAATTTCTGTGAAGGAACAGCCAGGTAACTAACCAAGTTTGGTAGTTTTTCTTGTTTCCTAGCTGATTCTGCTGCCTTCATGAGATATCTGAGTTCACGAACGATCAAAATTAAAACTTTTATCAATGTTTACCTGGCGAGTTGAAGCAACATAACCATGTTCTCGCCTTCATACGTACATCCACCGATAGCAACTCCTTAAAAGAAGTTTTTTAACCATTTTCTTCGAGTAGGTACCGTATATCGCTGATATATAACTTGCCATGGAGTAGCCATGACCACCACAAGCCATTCGAGCTTGTTCGATTCCTTGCCCAGTCATAAAGGTTACTACAGCCTTCAATCCAGAAGTGATAGCATGAAGATCTGCTAAATCAGCAGCCTTCAATAAGCAATATTTCATAGTTATTATTATATTCTCTTACAGTTCCGTGTGCTTTCATGTTCTCTGCTACCCGGATATACAGCTTCCGTGCTTGCTGCCCGGAAAAAAGAATCGCAAATGTACGAGCAACTTGAGGCAAAAGGCGGTGTTGCTGAGTTTGGTAATCCAGAATTCGAACTTCTTTCTTGTCTCTTCAACATTTTCTTTTAATTTACACCATTCGGTGAAGAAAATTACTGAGGTTCAATATTTCCCTGACGACGAACACACGAATAGCGAATAGCTGTTGTTAACGAGTAAGCTAAGAAAATTGCCTAGTAGAGGACATAGATTTTAATGGGATGAGAGGAAAAAGAAGTTACTTGATGCACAATCATGTGACTTCTCACGTGAATCATGGCGGAGTAGGCAGCTTTAGTATGTTGAGGGGCAATGTACGTGCCGTCTTCCAAAACCTAGTAGATCATGTTTAGTTGGTTTTTGAATCTTTCAACGAGTAAAGATACTTTCGAATGTCTCATCAACATATGTCGACGAGGAATTCGAACGTTGTCCAAACGTAGGAATCCATTGTCGGTAGCATTGTATTCCATCTTTGGTCCAATATCTCCAACGGTTATTCCTTGAAAAAAAACCATTGAAAACAGTTTGGAAGAGAGAGAGAGTGTGTGAGAGAGAAATACCTTTCATAGGTAAATGTGTTTCTTCACTTCTCAATTGAACGAAGAAATTGTGAGGTCCATAATTTTTGCCATCAATTAAAAGAATGGCCGTGACAATCGCGTGATTCGTTACTTTTCCCAAATTTCCTGGCCACCTTAAATAGATGTTTGAATGGTCTATGAGAGGTGAAAAAACTATTCAAAGAGACCATTTGATAGAAGTCGTATGAGGTGTGTTTAAAACGAATTCTTTTGTTTTTTTGTCATATACGGCAGTTGTTTCCAATTTTTTAAGATTTGTTCCTATGAAGAAGAAGGAAAAATATTTTTCATTTTAGAAGAGTAAAAACCATGTCCAAGCTCAGTCTGTGCATAAGTTCCAATAATTTCCAATCTCATGGCTCTCGATAGCCACCAGTCAAGCTGTTCATCATCAGCCTGAGCTTGAATAGCTGGAAGAAACATAACGAAATGCAAAGCAAAAGGATGTCCTTCAATTCCAATAACTTCACTGAACAAAATTTTTTTTAAGGTTTTAAAACTCTGTTCAATTCTACTTGGTCAAATGGAATACTTCCAATCCGTTAGTTCTATCTATTCCCAACTTATCCATGAGGCTGAACATACGAGTTACCTGTAATCATTCAATCAAATTTGAATATTTCCAATTTTCACGTAAAAATCATTTTCTCATTTCATTTTTATTAAATTTGACATTGTGATCGGTTGTCTTCTTGTCCCATTTAAGTCGGTCGATGTCCAAAGTACAAACCTTTCTGGCAGCTTCTTCCATTTTCTGTTCACGAGTCAAAAAGCTTGTGGGACATTTATCATGCAATTCGGGAAACATGTCAACTTTCGCAGAAATTTCACGTCGACGTAAGGCTTCCTTCAAATGTAACAAACTATTGAAAATAATAAAAAAAAAGAAAATGTTTACCTTCTTTGATTCCCAAACAACATAGGACAACTCATCTGTATTGAATGTGCATTTACCTCTTTCTTCTGTTAAATCAGGATTATCATTTGTATTATAATATCTATTGAGAGCCATCTGAAACAATATTATAGTTAATGGAACGAGCAATTGACAACATGGAAATGTTCAAGGCAATTGATAGGAATTGCAATCAATTGTATTTGTTCATAGTCGATGACTGATAAAACGATTACAAAAATATTATATTTTTTGAAAGAACTGTGAACAAGCTATCTTCAGATAAAAAATAACTTTTCCTTATTTGAATGAAAACATTTTTTAAAGATATTAAAACTTGTATTTATATTTTGAAACTTTTTATTTTACACTGAATCAATCGATAATGTGTTAAAAACAAAAAGTCCATTAAAGGAGTTTCGACCTTTGACCTTTGATGAACGGAAGGAGATCAAGAAGGTATCGGAAGAGGAAAGTTTTCATAAATGTTTACCATTTATTTAATGCAGGTAGATCATTGTGAGCCAAGTTGATGTTTAATCTTTCGAGGATATGATCTCGGTGAAGGGGTATATAAGGAGTGAAGAATCTGAGTTTGATATCAGTTGAATATAATTCTCTGAACATGATGTCCCTTCGAGTTTTATCTATCTTATTAATTGGATTATCACTAACCTCAGCCTATGTGGTTGTCGACAAAGCCATCAAGAATGAAACAGGTACGAAGTTATATCAAGATCCGACATAATCTCTTATTCAGATGTCGATGTTAACACTATCCTTCAAGCTTTCGGAGCTCCAGCTTGTATGAGAAAGTGTGTTGACCCATTCATTTACAGTTTGGATGTTTTATGGGAAATGAAGAATGTCATGCAACGATCTCAAAGAGTCTGCAAGTATGAAAGCATTTCGTTTTGTTTCATTTGTATTGTATGTTTCAGCGCCTATTATGAGGCAAGAGATTGTTTGAAGAATCACCAATACTGTGATATTTATGATATTTTCAATCATGCTACTCTCAGTTTTGGTCATCGTTGCGAAAAGCAAACTGTTCTTATTTCCAAGATGGAGGACTGTTTGACTGAAAATGTTGATCAAGTTTTACAAAGTTGGTTTTTTTCATTCCATTTAACTATATGTACGGAATTCTTCAGAGTGTGATGAAAGCTGCCGTTGTAGAGCTAACATTACCGCTTTCTCTCAACGTCCAGAAATCAAATTGGCCGCTCAGTTGGGTGGAAATATTTTCATGGCTTCTGATCACATCGGAGATATGTGCAGGTGATCATTAATTGCTTCAATGTGTTATATAATGGATATGTTTACAGCTCTCTCGGTTGTGCCATTCCCTGCGTGACTGAAAACCTGAACGAAGTTTGTGCGTACAGTGGATATTTGGCTTTGGATGCTATTCTTCAACCATTCGAAGCTGTTAGCCAAGCTTTAGCCAAGATGCCTGAGGGTATTCGCGATATCGTGAAAACAAAATTGGACAAGAAATGTCATTTCACTATTAGCCCAGTATCTCTCAGAAAAATTCGAAAGGGTGACTTTAACGTTTTAAACTAGAAATTAGGTAAATGCCAGTAACTTCTCTGTAAATATGAAATGGAAGAATTCCTTATACTTGCTAAGCAAAGTTGTAATCTCTTAAGAAGTTTTATTGAATGATTTGAAAAATAAACAATTTGAATTCAACTCGTATTCATTTGGTGGTCTTAGAAATATATTTGAAAAGTAGTATATTGGAATGACTATGCTTTACAGCTGTATGACAAAGATACTCGTAATGAATTAAGAGATGTCTCGCATCTCTTCAGTTATAGTTCTCTTGTTGTATGTAGTTTGATTCAGTATGATATGTTCGACTGTATGGGAAAGAGGTGATCAATTGGGAGTTAAGGTTATGAATTGATATATATGTTTGAGCCGAAGTTATTGTTGTTGTTATTCTCTCCGAAACTCTTTTTTCTATCTCCTTCTTTTGGAATGGCTGATTCTTCGTTTTCATCTTCCATTTTTTTCGGTTTCCTTCGACAACACCGATTCAACAGTATGGTCAAACAACGGAATAAGAAGAACAAAATTTCGAATAAGGTTAAGACAGATGCTCCTAAAACGAGAGTTTGTGAGTATGAAATTGAATTATGAAGAACTAACCAATCCAGAGTCCAGCTTGTCCTCCGATATCTGATATAAGGTTAACGAACAGATATGAACCGGACTCTTTCAGAATTTCATAACTCATCTGCTCATAATAAATTTCTAACATAGCGGCATGTTTTCTGAAATTGATTGTGTGAAGTGTCTGATATTGGTTTTGATGTACCCATAGTATGAATTGCAATCCGGATCTCGTCCTTCACATTCCATTTTGATACTACCACTCGGCCATTTAGCTGCTGAATAAGTTGTACTGTAGACATCCTGTTTGCAGGGGTGTACACATCGACATGAGTTCTTGCGAGTGCTCAGTTTAGCTCCTTCCGCTAACAAGCATTGTTCTTCAAGAGTTTTTTTTTAAATAGTTTAATAACGATTTTGTGAGTCTTACGAATTTCTTCGTTTCGCGTGTCACACACAACAACTCGATCATTAGGTGCCGGAAATCGAGGGTCTGCACATCCACACTTATTAATCATTCGTCTCTGATAACATGATCGATAGCATCCCTAGAAATCACATTCCTAGTTTTATTTTTTCTCAACTTCTATCTTACTTCTGGTTCATATTTATAATTCTTGTAAACATAGCCATATGGTAATGGGCCATCGGAATCATAGCAATCTCCGTATGGTATTGGCAATCGATTGACTTTCCTCTTCAAACAGATAAAAACTTTCAAATACTTATTCAGTTTTTCTCACCAGGCCAATACCGAACGAGCTGATGACTCCTGTGGGAGCAGAGTAGCCAAAAGTATCAGGGAATGGACACTCTTCCTTCAATCAGCAAAAGTTTGGATGCTCAAAAATAACTACACGTACTTGACCATGTATGGCAATTCTAACTCCTGTGGCTTCCGTTGTTGGTAGATAATCAGAAGAGTTCACAAAAACCATTAAACGAAGACCTTAACGAAATCACGAAGTACAAATTAAAAACCAATTATGTTCGTGTCAAACCATAATTTGGACCAGCGCGACTACTGGCTTTTGATTTTCTTGGATCTGCGTTGAATGTGTAGCAGTTACCAAAAGCAGGATCGATATGAAGCCTGGAATAAATATAATCAGCTGAGAATGAACTCGAAACAATGACTTGAATTCTTTCTCAATATCGCATTGTAAACCGTTAAAGGAACACATCCGAATTAGCTCTGCCTTTCCATATCCCAGGGCGGCGCGACGTTGAGGATGTAACGAAGACATTTTCAAAATAAGTCTGTAGTATAACAAATGTTTCACTGTTATGGAAATAGATCTCTTACTTTTCTTTGGCTTGGGTTGTGATAGCTACCTGATCAGTCATGTTTCCATAACCAAGCTTTGATAACTGTTCTAAGAAATCTTTTCTGAACGGACTGTCACGATCCGGAATTTTATTTCCGCGGAACTCCCAAACACGCTTAATTCGAGAATCCGATTTCAAAACGCAATAACCCATTTTCTGAAAAAAACAAATAAGCTTAACTAAACAAGTATATATTTCATTTACCAATTGACACATGCAGGGATGCGACTCAGTTCCAGTTGTATTCGGAACATTGCAAAAGCCAATATCATTGCATTCGGGACAAATAGCTTCTTGCCATGTGCTGAATTAGGAAATATAAACTTTTAAAATATTTTTTTCCAGTGAGAAGGAAAGAAGTCAACCGTTCCATATCTTCTATGTGTAAGCTATGAAATGATGACTTCAAATTGATATGCTAATGAGGATTCACTCATTATCCGTTAATATGTAAATCAGTTATGTTAATATGCAAATGACATCATACTGACAAATTGATCGATACGTGGAAACTTGTTGTGTGTAATCAAAAATCGATTCGAAGAAATATGTGAGTGATTGATGGCGAAGTTCATAATTATTTTATGGAATGGCATTACAATCAGAGGCGAAGAAGAAGAAGAAGCATATTCTACTTCTCAATATAAGCCAAGCTATCTCAGCTTTTCCTGCTTGTTCTTTCTCAATTGAGCTCTCAAAATTTTTAAAATATTAATCTCAACAACTGTTTTTCGATATCCAATGAAATTGATTAACGAAATTTTCCTCATCTAACACCCCCATCATTTAACAACAATTCTTTATCAAATCAAAAAAAAAAGGATATTTTTAGTCAAAAAATGAAGAAATTAGTGAGGATTTTTCATTTCTTGCGAACAATAGGATTGTATCGAATCAATCTTTGAAACAAAACGTTATGTCGAACATGACATTGAAAACAAATTTCATTTCCAAATGCAAACTTTTGATTGCAACAAGCATTTGCATAGGCTATTCCTTTAATTTGATAAAAGGCGTCAAATTATTTTTGGGAACAGAACGAAAATAATATCATTAAATACAACAATGTAATTATTGTTTCTTATATATACACATTTATAGAGAAATCTTAACGCGATGTGCGTATCCTTACCTTGTGCTATAACACGGCCATGCGCTTCCATCTTGTCGATCGTAATTACAGATACAAGCTGATTCTAAGCTCGGTGGAACGGAATCTTTTCCTTCAATTATTTTTTTTATATTTTCTTCATTAAAACATGATTTTTCTAACCAACACATTCTTTATTTAATCCTTTTACGCATTCGCAAGCTGAAAACACTGGCTCATACTGCACGAACCGGAATCCACCTGAAACAATTTCTGTTTTTTTATTTTTTTTTATTTTTCGAAAAATAGAATGTTGATCATCCCTTTTATGTAATGATTTCTATTTATAGAAAGATACATTGCTCTTCCTAAGAAAGTTTTAAGCTATTTAGGATGAGCAGATCCATGAAAAAAGGAAAAAGTGTTCAAAGCAATCATTTAACCGCTGACGCACATAATCCATTTGAGGAAAATAGATGGCCAGCTTATTCATTTAACCTACAATCTTTCTGGATGAAAAAGGAGGTTCGGAGAGCAGACTTGAATCAAGCGAAATCTTCTTTTTATTATTTTTTTTCTCTCAATAGAAACGTTACCATTTTTGGCACTTCGCTTTTTTCTAGACGTCGTCTCTTCAAATTGAGCATCATTACTGAACACAACGGCTTGATGAAATGCATCTAGCTGAAAAAGAACTCTGATGAAAAGTCTTAAAATTTCTTTTTTTTATTCTGTCGCACTCAAAAGTTCAATCGAAAACGAGGTTTTTTTGCTTTTTCTCTTTAAATATTTCCAGAGACGTACTGGGGCTTTAAGCCCGTAAAAGAACTCTCAAGGGGATGTGGAGAATGATGTGGTTGGTGGAGCATTTCAATACTACTCATCTTGGAAGTCTTTCTCTCTTCTTCTTTAACAAATTATTCTGAATATATCACCGTCTCACTAATCTCTGGAACAGTTCGAGCGAGATGTTTTTTGAAAGGATTTAGATTACAGACAGTTATTGCTGGAAACGGAGCTGATTCAAACTCAAGCTGAAAAATGAAATTTCAATATGGTACCGTGTAAATTAAAATTCTGAAACCTCCACGTTAACAATCTTGTCATTTCGTTGATATTTTTCTATCACAAGAATAATGTTATAAGCGAGAATGACCATTGACATGAGAGTGAAAAGAAGCCACAGAATTTGCATAACAACATGGCGAAACGTAAGAACCTACAAAACAGGGATAATACTTCATACATCAAGAAACTTAAAGAAGATTACCATTGAAAGACCATGAAAGGTAGTAGATTGACAGAATTCGACCCAAGCGTTGTGAATAGGACGGCTTTCATCGTGCTCTTTTGATATCCGAACTGCTTTACTGAACTCCTATAATAAGTTGAGAATTAATAAGAGAAACAGCATATATATTCTTCCTTGTAGAATATTCTCACTCATATTTTAAATTCGTTTGTTTTTCGCATAAGCTACGTCGAATGAGAAAGGAATGAAGGGACACAAACCTTGGTGTATTCAGAAGCGATTTCTTTAAAGGATGCTCTACGTTTGACAGGCTTTCTACGATATTCGGGAACGGAAAGATACGATCCTTTATCACATATTTCTATTGTTTCATCCGTTAGGGAAGGTCGACCTGTATCTGACGTAGTTGATGAAAGGGACAATTTATCGTACGTGGGTGGCTCTTCTTCACACACTATCGGAGGATTTGCCTTCAGAAGTGTAGGCATAGTAATATTATTCGACGAAATGGTAGAAAATAATCATAGATAGTAACAAAATGGTCTGGGATTGCGTTTAAATACTGTGCACGTTCTTCGTTAGTGTCGACCGATGAAAGCGACGACAGGCACGTCGAACTTCAGAAGCTCACAGCAAAGTTCTTTGACTTTTAACTCAAAGCTTCTGCTATTTCTTCTTTTCTCTCTCTATTTCTCTCATTTTTCGTTGTCACTTTATTCTTTTCATCTTTCGATTCTCCGAAATTCCTGGATACTTTCGCTATGTTCCTGACCCTCGTAACAGCTGCTCCATCAATCGTCGAACTGGGCGGTTCTGTCGACGCCCCGCCTTCCCAAGGGACGTCAAAAGGCCTTAAGCTTACATGGATACCTTCTTTCCTATTCTTTCTCTCAAGATTTCTATGCTTAAACTCATCTCTCAGTCCCTTTGCACTTCATTTATCACTTAAATAATAAGATTAATGTATTGGATCGTTATAGCGAAAAGAAATATTAAGCCTTTCGATTATTTCATAAAACTATTTGAAACACAATGTAGAATAGTTCTTACGAAGTAAGATGTTGTTTTGAAATAACTTCGCTTATGCTAAAAAAAAATCTTTCTGTTAGCATGATAGATCTCTTCTCAGACACAGACAGAAAGCAGTCATCAAGTTGGTGTATCAAATAAGCTTTGAACTCAAACAGTACTTCCGTGATCGAGGAAGTTGTCATATGCTTTAGAGAAAAATAAAAAACAAACTTTAAACTGTTTCCAAAAAATGCAAAGCTTTCGAAAATAGAACGTTGCAAATAGATGTTTCATCAGATACAAATATGGTCAACGGATGAAGAGGTGGTATAAAGTTCAGTTCGAAGAGAGCAAATGAATGAATGAAGTAATCATTCAAATGTTTCGTCCTTCCCCCCCCCCTCATCATAAAACATGGAATCTGGACAAGTTTGGGACATGTACGGAGATAAAAGCATGAAGAGTATGTCATCAGAGATTTGAAAGAATGGAAGTCCTTACCGCTAGTAGTCGACTCACATCTGCCGTTACTTCGCGTGTGATTTTTCGTTTAAAAGTCATTGAAACATGGAAATTCTAATAAAGGGAGCCTTAAACAGTATAAAACATGATTACAATGAGAAACAATGAGCGAACATGAAAGGCATAAAGAAAATTACTCTTCAAAGAAACCAGAGCTCAACACTTTAAGAAAGCTCAGAAGCTCAACTAAGGTCATATCCATGTGATAAGAAGTTGTAACGATTACATGCAACTGCTGACAGATTCCCCCCAGGACAGCAATAAGAAAGAAAGAAACTAATTGTCCCTTGGCGATCTTGTGATTATAAAAAATTATTCGTCTATTCTTCTCCAACGTTCCATACTCATTTTCTTTGACTTAATTCTTATATTTCATGAGATCACTGGACTGGCTTGAATAAAAATATCTTTTCTCACATCTGACGGATGTATGCATTTGATATTCATCGAATTATAATTTCGCACAAAGAAAGCCGAGAAACGGGGAAGTTGTAATGGTAAGGAAAGGTTGGAGGAGCGAGCAGAGAAAGAAAACTAAGATGGCCGATGTAAGCAAAGTCCGGCAAGAGGTAAAATGGCTTTCATTTGCCATTTTCTATTATTTTATCCACTCTGCTGTTTAAGCCATTTCTTAACCATTTACAACCAATGAAACATGAATCCAAAGGGTCATTTTCAAATGAATTCAACTTGAGTGAATTATTCTCTTGCAGAAAAGAAGGAATGAAATGCCTTAAGGACTTGCCTTTGCTTTCTCAAGAAGAGCATCTCGTTCAGCTTCTCCAAAAATTTTTGTCGGCTTCCTTTTTATTGTTGGTGTTGACCGAAAAGTTTGATAGGTCTTACGAAAAAATGGCATTCTGGAAAAAAAAACTTAAATGATCACATAAAATCAAAGAGTATAAAATACAAAAAAAAATTTATTTGAAAATAAAAAGACAACGTCGAAATGCCAAATACATCAGAGATTTGACTTGACATCCCGAAGGACTACATATCCTTTAAGCATTAAACAGATGATGACGAAAATCAAGATCACGTAAATTGATAGCAATGTTTTAAATGTTTTTTTGTAGCTTCTAAAGGCATTTACAAAATGAGCGTTGTTTCCCATAAAAGGTAATCTCCTTATTTCCGGGTACACAAATGAAACCAACTGTCAGAGGACAAACAGATTTATAAATGACACAAGAGCAACATGTGCATTTGTTCGTTCAAATTATTTAGAATTACTCTCTTCCATCATTCCGTTATTATTAATCAAAGAAGATGAATAATAAAAGATTTTGTTTTTTCTCAAATCTACGGATATCCAAACGAATTAAAAGAACAAGGGATCATTGCAGAAAGTTTTTCATACCACGCCAACAATTCAAAAAAAAGAAAAATGTTCGCACGTTAGGTGATCAAAATACAATGTACTACTTGGACTTTTAATGAAACTTAATGGAAAACAACAAACACAACGGATGTGTCTATTTCGTTTCAAAAATAACTCACTCGTTTCAATTGTGTTTATTAAGAGGGTCTAATGCAGCCGCTCATTAAACCATTTTCAATTCAAAATGGAAATAGTCAAACGTAATTTTTCACGTGTACATGTGGAAAACGTCGGCTGATCTTATGCTAATGAGCAGATATTTGAATTAAAAAACGGTTCTTCAATATTTAGAACTGAAAACATTAGGAAAAAAAACATGAGATACACTCGAATGAATTAAATGAGAGGATAAGATTATTGGACATTTTTACAAAGTTTTATTTTAACTCATAAAAAGACTTTTTCATCTCGTTTGCTCTTCTAATTCTTTCATGTCAATTTTGAGGAAAGTTCGACCGAGATATAAAAAACGGGCAACTTGAAAGCTTTTAAGCTTTTTCATGAAAGTAACATCAATGAAATCTATTGAAATATTTATAATTATAAAAAGTAAAAAAAAAAAGATTAAAAAACTCTCATTGATGAGAGATGACCGAGAGGGGACTCGAAAAGGGCTAAAGAAAATGAAAACCCAGAAGAACTTCTTGAACAAACTTGGAGCATTTTAATCATATTGAAAAACTAGAGGGATCGGACGATGTCTTACATGGCATATGTGACTAATTGTTTGTCGGCTATCAGCCCCTCTGATGTCCTCTCATTCCCAGGAGGAAAGAATGAAAAGCATGGACGACAGTGGCCACCACTTTCCGTCCTTCTACTGGCACACAGGAATCCTTATTTAGATTGTTGGCATTTGGTCTTTGAAAGAGTATGACATGAAGGAATTTCGAGCAGTTTCCGAGAGAGCTCAAGACTTTCGACGCACAAGAAGAAGAACGGTCTGACATCTTCCTTTAAGCTGCAAGCAAATGCTTTGTAAACATGAATCGGTTGTTGAGCATCGACTGCAGAAGAAGATGTACTTTGGCGGCTTCACTGTCTTAAGGAATGCTTGCACATATAAGTCAAGTTGATCGAAATCGGAATATCAGCAGATGGCCTGTCACAAAACACGATTAATGTGAATCAAGGATAGAAAATGGCCTCCACTTTTATCTCCACTCCATATCTCAGTCCATAGAGAACGAACACTTGTTCAGCTTCTCGACAAATGATTTGGAGCATCAAAACTGCAGAGAGTGAAAATATTGAACTTATAAGTATGGTCAGTCAAGGTCGGATTCTTTTCGGAAAGAATTATCTAGACCAAATTCGCAAAACTGTCTCAACAAATTACATTGCAACAGAATTTACTTTCAACAAAAACTTAACAAGCACAGAATATCATACGAGCGGAGAAAAAATCTGACGATCATTGAAAATTTCAGAAAAGTGTAAAATGAAAAAATTAGCTTATTGAGAAGGGGCAACAGCGCGTTTGAACTTCTCCTGGATGGCTAAAACTTTTTCCTTCTGTTCCTTAGATTTCTCATTGAAGTCTGACAAGTTATCTTCAACTCTCTTACTGAAAAAAAAAAGAATGATCTACCATCTTAGAGTGAAACTTTACATTTCAGCATTTATGT